GCACAAATTTTTGTGCACCGGGCCCCTAGTATATACAATAAACGGTTGGGTGAGGGATGAAAGGGAAATGTCCAGCATGGCTCCAGGTTTCCAACTTAGGTCCCTAGGAGGTGCCTTCATCCACAACTGGAAATGTAGGAGAGAATCAGGCTGAAGTGGAACACCTGAGATGCACTCTGGACTTGTGGGGAGAGCTGCAGAGGGAGCTGGCTGGAGCTGAAGTGCTTGTGTTTGTGTTTCAGATGGTGACCCTCTTTCAGATGTGGGTTGTTCCCCTCTATTTCACAGTGAAGCTGCACTGGTGGAGGTTCCTAGTGATCTGGATCTTCTTCTCTGCTGTCACAGCCTTTGTCACCTTCCGAGCCACCCGAAAGCCACTAGTGCAGACAACCCCAAGGTGAGAATTTAGGTGGAGAATTGAGGTTTCCTGAAGCTAATGGCTTGGGTGCATGGGAGGGGGGTGGGTTTAGATGGAAAACTTTGCAATTTTTATCTGCCATGTTTACTTAGCACTGAGCTCCACCAAAACAAGCTGATTGGGAGACCTGCCTCCCATTCACAGATTTAAAAAAACCAAATATTTACCTATAGCTTACCTTATAGTTTATTTCAAGGTCTGTTTACATTAAAAGCAAACAATAGAGTAAGCAAATCCTGGTGATGATTGTAGTATCATTTAAAATGTTATTTTCTTCTGTGAACCCTTCTCTGAACTCTAAGTTAGATTTTTCTGTTATATTTTTTCATAGTGCCCTGCAGTTTTCCTTCATAGAGCTTATCACAGTTTATAACTAAATATTATATTGAGAGTCTATCTCCCCACTAAACTATATCTATGAGATAAGAACCACATCCATTCTGTCTGTCACTGTATATCCAGGCCCTACCACAGGGCGTGGCACATAGTAGCCTACTCTATGAATTTTTGTTGAATGAATGAATCTCAGCAAATTTGCAATCTTCCAACAAATACTTCCTTTGAGGTTACAAAGCACCTCCTGCCTGTATATTTTTTTGTATTTTATCCAAATGCATTTCTTATTTGATCCTCCAACCAGCTTGTGAGGTCATTTAATATCTGTACTTAACAGGAAAAAACGATTCATTCATTCATTCAGCAAGCACATGCTATGTGTCAGACCCTGTGTTGAGTGCTGGGGATACACAACTGGATAAGACATGGTCCCTGCCCTCCAGGAGTGCTTGGTTTAAGTGAGGAGATGGATGAGAAAGCAGCTGTGTCAGTGTAGTTGGTAAGTGCCGTGAGAGACATGTGTACAGGTCCAAGAGAGCCTAACAGAGGAACTGGCCAGCCTCAAAGCTGCGACCACCTGATCCAGAGTCTTCCAAGTTGCAAGTTGCTCTTTTTCCCATGCCTCATATGTTCCACTGTCCTGCAAGCCTTTCTTTGGCCGTCTGAGTCTGGTCATACAAAGTAAAATTTATCTTCATGGTGAAGTTGGTGATCCAGAGCCCCTCTTTGGCTGTGGTAGTTTACTTTATGTTAAGGGCCATTTCATAGAAGATACAGGCTCAGTAGCCAGATGGATGCAGATTGGAAACCCCAGCTCTGCCACTTGTTAATTATATGACTTGTTTGACTTCACCTTTCTGAGCACTGAATTCTTTATCCCTAAAAGTGTGGTAATAATTGCTACCTCAAGTAGGGCGATATAAAGAAAAAGTGTAATAAAGCATATTAAATCACCAAGTAACAAATAGTATAAACTTCTATTTAAAATTACTGAAAATAGTCCATAACATGGGAGGTTTTTTATATTTGATAGTGCTTTATAATTTCAAAGCACTTTCATAAACATCCACATATATTCACACAGCATTTATGGAGCTATGTGCTGGTACTACATATATCAGGAAACAGGCTTTGTATAAACCAGTGAAAATTACTTGGCCATTAAAAAGAATGAATTTTGCCATTTGTGACAGTAGTGAAATTGTGTCAGAGATGTTGTTTGACTTACCTCAGGTTACCCAGCTAATAAACCTCATTAAATCCAGATTCCAACTAAAATTCTACATCCTTTCCGTTGTGTCTCATGATCAGTGCAAACCCTGGATAATGGACCTGTGTGTGGTCTTTGAGGAGGGCATTGTAAGATGTTTGTTTGGGGCCTTTCCTTTGCCGGAGAAGCTATCACCCTTGAGCTTTCTTCTTGGGCCCCAGCATGGTTCGCAGTAACCTAGTTGGCTCTCTGGAGCTAAATAGGCTTGTGCTAGTTATTCAAGCAAATTACTAAATTGCTCATAAGCTCTCATTACAGATAGAATAGTGACTACTAATATTAGTGTTTAAAAGGCTCTGGTACATTCTGGTACCATCTTTCCTATCTGAACCTAGCTGGAGTCAACCAACCAGATTCCACGCTGCTTTTCATTGGTTCCTAGGAAGCACTGCTGCTCCCTCAGGAGCATTGCACAACCCCGCTCCATCCCACCACCACCACCACCACACACATACATCTAATTCAGAGTTATTCTTTGAGTGCCTCCCTAAGGATCCCTTTTATTCCAGAAAGAAATATTTTCAGAAGCAGTCATTAGATATCATTCATTTCATTATTGGCCTGTGGATAGAAAGAAGCAAAGCAGTATTCAGATTAACCATGCCAAGGTATAAAAGTAGCTAATTCTACCTCTTATTCATCTTCCCTTGAATTCTCTTTCTTGACAAGAATAACTAGCCTTCCCTCGTTCCTTTCTGAGCATAGTTGTAGTTTCTAGTTTTCACTTCTGATCCAACTAATCTGAATTTGAGATGTGTGTGCTCTTTCTTTATTTGAGGCTGAAACCTTTTAAGGCTCTCTTTTATTCTTTTGTCTGAGACCAGGAAGATACAAAGTACTGGCTCCTTGATATGTGGAGGTGTTACTGCAGTTAAGGTGTTACAGCTCTGTACAGTAACTAAAGTTTCTCAGTAAGTCCTAAGCAAAGAGCCTGGTGTCCCCATTGATGTGAGAATAAGGGATCTGGTGGTCCAGAGGTCTCTAGATAGAGTTTCTATGTCAGCTGTATTAATTTTCTCTCCTTTCTCATCCCTACTTCATTTATCTCTTCTTCTGGAGAATTCTCTTGTCCTTTCATTTGGGGCATTTGGGGTTGTTTCTTTGTCTCTTTATTTTGGTTGCCTGTTTGGGTTTGTGACTATCTCTTAGGTAGATCTGCTATGCCTCTCAGTCTTCTGGTGCAGGACAGTGTCAAATGCTCTTTCTGACTAATTATATCAGGCAAAGACTCAAAGTCTCCAGAGACTGCCTCTGCCTACAGACTGATAGGATTCCGGCTTCAATTGCCCCCAGGCAATCGTCCTCAGGTGTGGGAGAGTTTTTCTCAAAAGGGTAGGGCAATTGCTTTTGCCCAGAGGCTAATTGTTATTTTTAATATCTTCAGTGGCCTCAGGGCAAGGTATTTTCCAATAGGATGGGTCAGCTGCCTTCCCCCAGGCAAGGCCACCTGTATATAGCAAATGTCTGTGTGGGAAAGATGTCCTCCGCTACCTACATGAGGGAATGACTCAGCACAGGAAACCGAGGGTGTCTGCCTTCTAGCTCTAACCCCTGAGTCCCCAGTTCTGGCTTCTGCTCACACAGCTCTAGTCCACTCTGCCCTCCCTCTGCCAGAGCACAAGGTGGGTGGCTCCACAGGTAATTTTGTGTGGTGGCCCTTTAAGAGAGTGCCTGAATTTTCAGCCATTACTCCCTGGCAGACAGCAACCCTGCTGCTTTTCCCAGCCAGATGTTATATGGGTACTCTTCTCGGTTCTGGTGCTCTCTGCAGGGGGGCCCAGCTTGGGGATTAGTTCCCAGAGTTCTCAGTGGCCCCCCTCCCGCCCCCCCCACAGCTGAGATATCTCTCTGGAACATCGGTTGCTGTCTGTGGGCGCCCGGCCAGCACTTTCGGTCCTCGGGTATCAGGTTTCGCTCTAGTGAGTTTTCCATTTATTATTCAGGAAGTTTTTCTGTATTTTAGTTATAATTCCTGTTTGCTCCTGGGAGCGTGTCCGTGGAGCATCCACTTACTCTGCCGTCATTTTTAATCTCTTTCTCTCTCCTTTCTCCAGGTTGGTTTATAAGTGGTTCCTGCTGATCTATAAAATTAGCTATGCCACTGGCATCGTTGGCTACATGGCTGTCATGTTTACCCTTTTCGGTCTTAATTTATTATTCAAGTGAGTATCCTTTGCTTTTTTTTTTTCTGGTGTTGGGGGTGGAGATGCTGGTGGGCTTTATCTTTCTTCCTGGGGCAAGTCCTGGTTATTAACAGGGGGAAACATGGTAACCCAGGATAGGAAACTCGAGACATGGGGGGATACGAGGGTGGGCCCTCTACTATTGTGCTGACAAAGAGAAAGGAATGTTGGATAATACAGAGTTAGAGTTTCAAATCATTGGTTATATTTTCTAAGAATTTATATTTTAGTGGAAAAGTATAACAAACAATAATAATAATAATTATTATAGCCAGTTTCCTGTTACTTTATCTCCCTAATAGAACTATTTTCCTTGTCCATATATTTATTGCAGCATCCACTCTACCTGAGTGATCTTATGTTCAAGAAGACTAGGAGTTGGCAAACTATGTCCTATGGGCCAAATTGGTCTACTTCCTGTTTTTATAAAATAAGAAAAATATTTTACTGGAACACAGTCACATTTGTTTACACGTTGTCTATAGCTGCTCTTGCAGTAAAACAGCAGATTTTAATAATTGTGGCAGAGACTATATGGGCCACAAAACTAAAATATTTACTATCTGACCCTTTACAGAAAAAATTTGCTGACCCTGGACTAGACATTTGAACTCATGGGAGACAGTTGACCACACCTGGCAACAGATCCACCTAGAACAGTGGTCGGCAAACTCATTAGTCAACAGAGTCAAATATCAACAGTACAACGATTGAAATTTCTTTTGAGAGCCAAATTTTTTAAACTTAAACTATATAGGTAGGTACATTGTTATTAACTTAATTAGGGTACTCCTAAGCTGGCCTTTGCTAAAAATGTCCTCAATCTGAGGGGTCGACCTCAGCAAACGTACCCCCACTTCTTCTAATGCCACTTCTTCAAAATAGACTCGCCCCCGTCGGAAAACCGACTTCTGCGCATGGGCCATGAAGTTTCAATCGCACTGTACGTGCGCGCCCGCACATGGTATTTTGTGGAAGAGCCACACTCAAGGGGCCAAAGAGCCACATGTGGCTCGCGAGCCGCGGTTTACCGACCACTGACCTAGAAGGATACAAGACAGGAAATTGCAGGGCAGTGTCTGCAGAAGTTCTCATAGTAGTCCCAGGGCTGAGATGTGAGAAAGTGAGACACCTGACCCAGAAGTCCCCCCTCGCCAAGGAACACATTCAGTTTCAGGAATCTCCCAGTCCAGATGCAGTGTACTGATCACAGGCCATGTTTAATGTATAAGCATTGTTGCTTTGGAGCACAGCTGACAATCCACTTTTATCAGATTTCTAAGGAAACAGTTCTAGAAAGTTAACCTGTGGACATTTAACTCCTGCTCCATTGTTGGGCACTTAGGTTGTTTTTCTATTTAGTGTTGTCACAGATAACATTGCTCTGGTGCTTCCTAAGGTTACATTACTAGGAGTAGGAGTGTGGCTATTACTTCCTATTGTCATAAGCTTTCCAAAATATCTGTTTCAGCATACATGGCTACCCACCCCCAATTGAGGTAGAAGCCAAGAAATTCTGGGCTTTGGGACTGGTGGGTACAGTGAGTAGAGCAGAAGAGGGTGGGAATGTGGTTTCCTGGCTGATGGGATGAGGTTTGTGGATCACGAGGGATGATCCTAAGCCTGTGACAGTGTACTGAAGCTAAACGGATTTAGGATTCAAATTTAAATTCATGACCACTGGCCTCTTCCCCAAACCTAGTACACTATGTAGTGAGAGGGCAGCCATGGAATTCTTACTTGGGGTAGAACAGGCTGGAAGAATAAACTGGCTCCACAAAGAAACTCATCAGTATAGAGTCTAACACATCTCATCAAAGAAAAGCAAGATATTTCCAGATATGTTTTTACCTGTGTGGCTTAAAATAATTAAAATCAAGATTCTGCCTTATATTTTAAAGCCATTTATTCTGTAATTACAGTTTCTTTTTATTCTCATAAACTCTACAAGGAAGAAAACAGAATTGGGAATCTTGACCATTTTTATGCTACTGATAGGTCAGTTGGTGAAAAACCATGATTTCTAGTTAATAGGTTAAATATTATAAGATTGATGAGCAAATTCATCTTTTTAAGATAAATATCATTTACAGCTTTAAGTGAACACATACAGTTCCTGGTATAATTTTTTTTTTTTTAATTTAAAGAGAGAGGAAGTGGGAGAGGTAGAGAGACCAATTTGAGAGGGGAACATCGATCAGTTGCCTCCTGCACGGGGATCAAACCTGCAACCTGGGTATGTGCCCTGACCGGGAATTGAACCTGCAACCTTTTGGTGCACAGGATGACGCTCCAATCAACTGAGCCACACCAAGCAGGGTACAAATATTTTAACAAAGGTACTTTTCTATACTAAATATTTATAGACTCAAGGTAGCAAATTATTGGTCCTTGGACTTATTAAAACAAATCTCTTGATATTACAGGCAAGAACTTTGTCTTTCTACCTAAAACCTATATAATTTTATTAACCAGTGTCACCCCAATATATTCAATAAAAAAACTTTGTTCTTCTTGGTAAGTAGATGTGGACCAAAGTTTAACTTGATGACATACAGAATATGTATAGGTGCATCGTAACATTTTATGGTAGCTCGTCTGTAACTGACTAACTTTTTTTCCAGAAACCTTGGTTGCCAAACTTTTCTGTAAAGGGTTAAATATTTTAGGCTTTGTGAGATAAAAGTCGAAATCTAGGATATAATATAGGTACTTCTATAATGAGAGAAAACTCCTTCCCTTACCCATGGGCTGTCTCAGATGATGGGAATATTTGTGTCTGCTTGCCATCAGGCAAGACATTCTCAGAAGCAGTAGCCTGAAAAGGAGGATATGAAGTGGAGTCCCCAATATGTAGGTGCCAACCAGAGCAGGCCCTTGGCAGCTGCAGTGTATGGTTGCCAGTTGGAGGAGGCAGGCACTGGGAACAGAGTGAGGAAGTGGGGCAGAAGGGGATACCCTGGCTTCGTCTTTGAAGCTCACAATGCTAGCCTGTTCAATTGGTGCCCACGGACAATATAAATACAGCAGGCTAGATTTGGTCTTAGTTTGCCAACACTTGCTCTAGCCCTTGAACCTCCCACTTTTAGGCACCTCCTTCTGTGTCCCAGAGTAGAATACAAAGCAGTCGTGTCTCAGGGCAGGCCATGCTACTTCCTTTACAGGATCAAACCAGAAGATGCCATGGACTTTGGCATTTCTCTCCTCTTCTATGGCCTCTACTATGGTGTTCTTGAGCGGGACTTTGCAGAAATGTGTGCAGACTACATGGCGTCTACCATAGGGGTGAGTTCACCTGGCTCTTAATACTGCCTCCTGCCACCTCCAGAGAGTTCAGGATAGCATCACTTGTTTGACGGAAGAGAGGAGCCAGATAAAATCCTTCAAGATGTGGGTGGTATGTATGGAGATTTCTTCCTTAAAATTTGGAAAGTCAGATCTCAGATGTACCCTGGAATTTTTAACTTTAGGACCATTATAGGAAAGGACCACTTTACCCTGAAGGAAGTTAGCATTCATCCAACAATTATTTATGTAATGCCTATGTGCCTGAACACTGTGTGTGCTGGGATTGCAAAGGTGTACACACAGAAGCAGATATGGTCCTTGCCTAAATGGAGTTTACTCTCTAGTGACAGAGAAAGGTATTAAGGGTAATAAACACAAAAATAAATATAAAATTGTAAATTTAATAAATATTATGAAGGAAAGGTTCATGATGCAATGAATAAATGTAGTAGTAGCATTTGACCTAGTCGTGGGTCTCAAAGCACTTCTCTGAAGAAGTGACTACTGAGCTGACTCAAACAATGTACAGGCATTAACTAGATGAAGTGAAGTGAAAAGAGATAGAGAAAATTGTGAGTATAAGAGTCCTGTGGTGGGAGAAAAGGTGGGCCTTTTGAAGAACTGAGGCTAATATGGTTGTAGGGCTGAGAATGTAGTGAAATAACTGGAGACATAGTCAGAGGTTAGACTAGAAAAAGCCTTATAGGACAAAGGAAAGATTGTGTTTTTTTATACTAAAAAGACTGGAAGGCTACAATAGAAAATGACATTATCAGATTTGCATTTTGAAAAGATCGTACTGGCTGCTGGGTAGAGAACAGATTGGAGAGGGGTCTACAGGTTAGAGTGGACCACTTAAGACTATTTAAGAGACAAATGCACTAGTCTGGGAAAGATGAAGGTAGCTTGGATTAGCGTAGAGATGGTAGAAAGGGAGAGAAGAGCACTATTTTGAAGTATTTTGTAGTTAAGTTTGATGGGACTTGGATATAGATTAGTTCTGGAGCCTGAAGGAAAAAATATGAAGGAAAAGTAGGTGTCAAAGCTGAGATTTCTCACTCAAGCAACTCCTATCTCACTAAAGTGAGATAGGAAATGCTCTAAGAGGATGAGATGGAGACCATGGAGAAATTCTTCAAGCTTAAAATATGGGTAAAATAGCCAATCTGAGAAACCTACATCAATATCCCTTTTTTCCTTCATAATGGAAATATGTATTTGTTTTGCTATTTACATTCTCTTAATTATGTAAACAACACAGAAGTGTTCCCCATCTCAGTGTCATCCCATTAGACGCCACCCCAAGGAAGAATAATTCAAAATTTAATGGACATCTCTCCATTTCTGTGCTGAAATACATGTGGCTCTGTCTGATGGAGGGGAACCAAAGGGCATTCAGATGTTCTTGACAGCTTGGGGTGAAACCCTGGGAGAACATTATGGAAATAGGTTCTCTGGGAGCATCCAAATACCAGTCCTAGCTTTTAGGCAGCAGATATCTATGGAGACCAAGTGATGAGAACAGGAAAGGATCTGCACTGACTACATGTGAGGTGCTTCGGGAACTCCGGAAGGATTTGAGGCAGTTTGCAGGTGGGAGACTATTTGCTGTGTAAGCTTGTATGTCATGCTTCTGCAATCTCATTTGTGTCACAGGCCAATTTAGGTTAAATAATACTCAACCATCACCTTGGATACTTTTAATCAAGTATAGTAGTTTCAGATCTAGAACTTTGTTTCTCAGTATCATGGATCAAATTGAAAACAAAGTATATTGGGTCACTTTGTGGACAGCTTATTAGATACTTTTTGAACTGTCTTATGTTTTAGCTGCATTTCGCTGTCTCGTACACATTTGTGTATGCTTCGGCTCTTCCTTTACCCATTTCACTTCCCAGAAGAGATTTCTGGACCCTAGATTATCTAATTACTAACTGCACTTTGAACAACAGCTTTTCTCTTAGACTGCTTTTATAGCATAGCCAGCTTTTCACAGTCCCTCTTGCCAGTATCCTATCCTTTACCCTCTAGTGATCTCTTTTTCTTCTGATTCTGTTTTTACAAGACCAATTCTCTGATTTTCCCAGCTTGTTGCCAACTTTATTTCAAGGTTATTAGCAGCTGCCAATTTAAACAGAGCCTTAATTCCCTCAGGTGGTCGCTGATAACCAATCTACAAAATCCCTCTTCTGTCCAAATGGGACTGAGCTCAGAACTGATCCACAAGATAGCTTCTCCTCTAGAGGAGATGGGATCATTACATTGGCCTCTCCAAAATAGGTTTGAGCTGGGCCTCTTTCCATGTTCTTGGGAAGAATTATTGGGAAGAATTCCAATGATTACAGCTGATAATCCTTAAAAGATAATAAATTCCAGCTTTACCAAAAGACCTGGCAGGAGAATCTCTTGTTAGGGTGGAGGGTGCCTCAAATACCAGCTCTTGGCCCCTCATATTCTCCCTCCCTTTATGGGATCTTACTACCCCATATGCTCATTTAATAGCCTGGCCCACGTATAAACCCTGTATCTCAGCATAAGAACAGAAGGATCAAGCAGTCACATTGGGGTTTATTAAAAGGTTGAGGATTGAGAGCAGGAAAATAAGCCAAGGGTACTTGGCTGAGGTTAATCTGATTTACCAGGCTGCCTGCCCTCCAGGTTTCCAGACCCTGCCTTCACCAACTCTCAGCCTACCACTGTGTAGCTAGTGGCATTTTGGCACCCACCACATCTAGACAACTATTTTTCAAATGTCTGGACCTAGAGCCTTTGTTCCTGACAAAAATATGCCACCCCTTCCTCTATTCCTCAGGCCAGCCTTCTGAATCCTGGTATCTTATGTGAGGACTTACTTCTTTCCTAGGTAATTGACATTGAGAATGGCTATCCCTTTCAGAGGAGCCACTCTATCCAGCACCTGTCCAACAGAATGTGACCTTGCTGACCCTAACTATGGACAGTTTGCTGTTTCCCCAGGTTCCCATCTTGCAGCAGAGTGGGTCATAGGAAGACTAGAATGGCTTGTGGTAGTACTAGGTGAGTCACCAGGAGTTCATTTGTTATTTCCCATAGCAAACATTGCTGAGACTTAGTGACAGGCCTTCTTCTAGGGCTTGGGATGCCAGCAGATGAGACCAGGCAAGGGTGTGGGAGAAGGGATATCAGCATAGATTAAAGGGATATATTGCACTGCCTTTACAGTTCTTTCCAACCCTGAGAATTCCAGGACTTTCTTGTTTCTGCCCGTCTTTGGTCAAGTGGGCCTTGTGCTCTGGGTCTCTGAGCCACGGAAACCTCAATTTCAAGAATAACCCTGACCTTAAAAACAAAATCTGATCAATGCTTTTGTGCAGGCAATTTGAAGAAGCCAAGAAATTTCTGCCTTCCATGCATTCATTGGGCAACTCATTCATTCATTTATTCAAGCAGCAGTTATTTGTCAACCATCTATAATGTATCAAGTATGACCCAAGTACAGTCTTTACTAACACCACTACCACCCATTTCAGTAGCATCCTTGTTTTCGTTTTGTTTTTTTTTAATTGTGGTAAAGTACACATAACATTGCCCTGGCCGGTGGCTCAGTTGGTTGGAGCATCGTCCTATACACCAAAGAGTTGCAGGTTCAATTCCTGATCGATGTTTCTCTTTCTCTCCCTCTTCCTCTCTTTAAAATCAATAAAAACATATTCTCTAGTGAGGACTAAAAAAACACATATAACAAAATTTACTATCTTAATCATTTTAAAGTGTATAGTTCAGTTACATTAAGTACATTTACATTGTTCTGCAACCATCACTACTATACATCCATAAAACTCTTCACTTGTAAAACTGAAGCTCTATACCCATTAAATAGTGACTCTGCAATTTCCCCTCCCCAGCCTCAGGCAACCACCATTCTATTTTCTGTCTCTGAATTTGACCACTGCAGGTACCTCATATAAGTGGACTCGTGCAATATTTGACTTTTGTGATTTACTTATTTCACTTAGCATAATGTCTTCAAGGTTCACCCATGTTGTAGCATGTATCAGAATTTTCTTCCTTTTTAAGTCTGAATAATATTCTACTGTATGGATAGACCATATGTTCAGTCCTGATCATTTTTCATAGTCTTTTGTACATTTTGTGGTCATGGCTACCCCAGAAAGTCATAGTTGATGTTGGAGCTGTTCTGCTTACCATGTCAGGAACTCGTTTTAGTCATCGCGTGGTTCCCCTTTGAGGGTGGTTTGACCTAAAGAGATGTGTGATTTATTCGTCTCGGGGTTCTTACAAATGAAACCAGGAGGTTTTGTAAATATATTAGCAAGCATTCTCAATTCCTTTTCACTGTTCTGTTTAGTGTATAGTAGCTCTTTGGTTTGTCTTCACGTGGAGAAACTTGTAATATGAACTTAAGTAATTATCTTCTTATGATGAGTCTAGGGAACCTTGGATGTTTGTTTTTTTCCCATCTGGTCACTATGAGATCATAAACTTGTGACAGCCAGTCAATATGGTTTCCTTGATTGTGAAATAAGCTTATTTTCTGGGGCTTCTTCTAGGCAGGGCAGTAACACACACTATTCATGCTACAATGGGTATAGCTCACACTTTTTTGTTTTTTGTGGATTTCTTTTAGTCCTGAGCTGAAGATATGTTTATTGACTTTTAGAGAGGGAAGGGGAGAGAGAGGGGAGGGGAGGGGAGAGGAAACATCGATTGGTTGCCTCCTGTTTTTGCCCGGACTGGGGCTGGAACCTGCAACCTGGATATGTCCCTGACTGGGAATTGAACTTGCAACCTTTTGGTGTACAGGCCGATGCTCCAACCAACTGAGCCACACTGGCCAAGGCTCTATCTCACACTTTTTTTTTTTTTTAATCTCACACTTTCTATCTTCTGAGCAAGTTCTTGTGCCCCAGAGTTATTTCTTGAATCATCAGTGGCCCAGATAGCATCAGGACAGGACTAGCTAGCCATTCATCTGGTTTAAAGTAGTGGAAAGAGCCCAGGGGTGGGCAAACTTTTTGACTTGAGGGCCACAATGGGTTCTTAAACTGGACTGGAGGCCGGAACAAAAGCATGGATGGAGTGTTTGTGTGAACTAATATAAATTCAAAGTAAACATCATTACATAAAAGGGTACGGTCTTTTTTTTTTTTTTTTTAGTTTTATTCATTTCAAACGGGCCGCATCCGGCCCGTGGGCCGTAGTTTGCCCACGGCTGAGCTAGGGGATTAGAGTCAGACCTAGTTTCAAGTTCTAATCCACTTTTAATTAGCTATATACTCTCTCTTTTTAAAATTTATTCTTTTAATCTTTATTGTTGAAAGTATTACATATGTCTCTATGTTGTTACTGTCTTTAGACAGAGAGTAAGGGAGTGAAGGAGAGAGAAAGAGAAACATTGATCGGTTGCCTCCTGTATGCACCCTGACCAGGTTTCAAACCCACAACCTTTTTGGTGTATAGGATGATGCTCTAATCAATTGAGCTACCCAGCCAGGGCTAGCTGTGTACTCTTGAGCAAGTTACTTTACCTCTCTGGTCTTGTTTTCTTAGCTGTAGTAATACTACCAGTCTTATAGAATTGTAAGGAACAGGTTAATGTAAAGCATTTTGCAGAGTTCACAACATTACCCAGTCCTGGTTTTCTTTTTGTTACTGGTATTTTCTGTTTCCTCTGCTAATTTTTCTTTCTCTTAAATGTTATTGTTCCTCTAAGTTCAAATCTAAGTCATCTTTTCTACTCTTCACCTGGATATTTCACTTTTCTTTTTCCAGGGATTCCAGATTTCTAATCCAAAACTGTTTTCTGAGCACTAGAATGTTATTATTCAATGGTCTATTAGACATCATTGGTTTGTCTATACTTCTCTCAGTTTTTACTGCCATCAAATTAGCCCAAGCCATCACCTTAGTATAAGCCTCCATGATCCATTGCTTTTAGAGAATTATAATTGTCTCTTAGCTGGTCTTTCTAAAGCCTTTTTGCCTCATCTCCAATTCATTTTTCACACAGAAGACAGAGTGATCTTTTTTTATCTATTTTTATCTATTCTAGATATTTTATATATGGAGTCATATAATATTTGTTCTTTTGTGTCGGCTTATTTCACCTTGCATAATGTTTTCAAGGTTCGTGTGTGTTGTAGCATATGTCAGAACTTCATTATTTTAATGACTGAACAATATTTTATTGGGTGGATATATCACATTTGTTTATACACCTGTTTATTGATGGACACGGATTGTTTCCACCTCTGACTATTGTGAATAGTGCTGTGATGAGCATTAGCACACAAGCATGTGTTTAGTCCGTTTTCATTTTTGGGAGTGGAATTGCTGTGTCATGTGGTGATTCTTGTTTAACTTTTAGAGGAATTAAGAAATTCTTTGCTTCTTTAATTATAAATAATGCCTAAATGAATATCTATATGCATGAAGCTTTTTTTAAAAAATGTTTTTATTCACTTTTAAAGAGAAAGGAAGGGAGAGGGAGAGAGAAACATTGACTGTCAAGCTCGCAACCTGGGCATGTGCTCTGACCAGGAATTGAACCACTCAGTGCATGGGATAATGCTCAGCCAACTGAGCCACACTGGCCAGGGTTGCATGAAGCTTTTTTTTTTTTAATTTATTTTATTGATTTTTTACAGAGAGGAAGGGACAGGGATAGAGAGTTAGAAACATCGATGAGAGAGAAACACCGATCAGCTGCCTCCTGCACACTCCCCACTGGGTATGTGCCCGCAACCAAGGTACATGCCCTTGAC